CCTGAGGGCTCCTGGACTGTGAGAGGATGCAGGCGGGGCTGAGGAAACCCTCCCCACCCCACCCTCACCCCCAGTAGCACGAATTTCATGCAATGGGCCTCTAGTTTTGCCTATAAATGGCATAGTAGAAATAAAGTCAATGAGTTTATCTTTTATGTGGCTAATATCATGTGTTTTCTTTAATAAACTTCACTGGGTTCAAAGCCATGGAATAAAACTATGAAGCCACTGCTTTAACCATGAGGTAATCTGATCTTGCACACTATTAAGAAAACTATGTCAAAAGCCAGCGATGAGTCCTACCAGGTTTGGTTCAGTGGATAGAGCATTGGTCTGCAGACTGAAGGGTCCCAGGTTCAATTCCTTTCAAGGGCATGTACCTTGATTGCAGGCACATCCCCAGTAGGGGGTATGCAGGAGGGCAGCTGATCAATTTCTTATTGATGTTTCTAACTCTCTATTCCTCTCCCTTCTTCTCTGTAAAATCAATTAAAACTATGTTCAAAAAAAAAATCCAGTAATGAGAAGAAAATTTTGAAAGCAGCAAGAGAGAAGCTACTTATCATGTATAAGAGATCCTCAATAAAATTAACTGCTGATTTCTCATCAGAAACCATGGAGTCCATGAAGCAGTAGGATGATATATTCATATTGTTAGGCAAGACAGGATGGGGGGAGTAAGGGGTGGGTAGAACAGCTCAGAAACAGTTGAATCTATATGCAAGAATGTGGGCTTTTTTTTCAACATTCTTTCTCCCAATTCTGAACCCATAGACTCTCTCAAATACTTAAAAGGGGCTTGTTGCTGCTGTCATTCTTTAGATACTGCAGTAGTGGGGTCAGGAGAGGGGCAAAGCCAGCTGTGTCCCTTTGTAAACTGTGGTCATTTGCAAGGCAGGAATTCTGGATTCTCTAGCTGCTGTGATATTTGTCCTAGTTTTCAGGCAACTCCATGGTATTTCCCCCAGAATCTATTGGATAAAATGATTATTTGCACTCAAAGCCACTTTGGATGTGAAGACCTTATTAATAAAGGCCATCAGGAAATATGCCATCATAATATTAGCACAGCTGCAGCAGGAAGATATGGTGAGCCAGGTTATGTTTTAATGTTTTTTATGATAACTCAGAGTTCACATTGATGATGCAGAAATTGTTTCATTGTGTGTGTGTGTGTGTGTGTGTGTGTGTGTGTGTGTTCAGGCCTCTGCTTTTTCCCTCAGCATCCCCTCCCCCATCCCACACATCAATTTTCTCTCGTTTCTTTTTGTCCAGGGATTATTACAGACAAGGTTGACTGTGCTGAGTTGGCCATTGTGAATCCAGAATCCAAGGCAACCTCCAAAGGGAACATACAGATCCGGGGCAAGAACTGGAACCTAAGGGTTAATGATTGGGCATCTTTCAAAGTCTGAAGTTCTTTTTTTTTATTTTTTTATTTTTTTAATTCTTTTGTGTGCTTTCATTCAGGAATTTTGCATGGCTTAATAGTTCACAGCTCTGTCAACACCTTTTTAAAAATATTTTTATTGTTTTTTGTTTTTGATTTTTGTTTTTGCTTTTTACAGACAGGAAGTGAGAAGGATAGAGAGTTAGAAACATTGATCAGAGAAACACTGATTCAGCTGTCTCCTGCAGACCTCCTACTGGGGATGTGCCCACAGCCAAGGTACATGACCGGAATCAAACCTGCAACCTTTCAGTCCGCAGACCGAAGCTCTATCCACAGAGCCAAACCAGTTAGGGCAGAAGTTCTAAGTGTTTTTCCAGCACTGCCTGGGGGCTTCTGTTGCAGCAGCACATCCCTGCCCTACCAGGCAGCCAGGCAGCCACACTGAGCACCTCCCCGGAACGCCTGATGAGGCGCTGGTCCTCCAGGGAAATTCAGAACCCCTGGGGGTGGTCGCAGGACCCCAGGCTCCTCCTCAGCACTTCTGCTTTCTTCCTGCAGAGTCTTCCTTCCAAAGGTGGTCTGCTGGCCCAAACCATATTGACGCTGACAATAACCATGTGGTCCACAGGTTAAGAGTAGGATGATAGCCAGGCCGGCATGGCTCAGTGGTTGAGCATTGATCTATGCACCAGGAGATCACAGATCAATTCCCTGTCAGGGCACATGCCTGGGTTGTAGGCTTGATCCCCAGTGTTGGGACTTGCAGGAGGCAGTCGAACAATGATTCCTTCTCATCATTGATGTCTCTCTCTCTCTCTCTCTCTCTCTCTCTCTCTCTCTCTCTCTCTCTCTCTCTCTTCCTCTCTGAAATCAATAGAAATATATTTTTAAAAGGAGTAGGGTGATAAAGGATAATTTAAAATATATAAATAAATAACTGGTATAGTAAAAAGGGGGCCTTCCTTTGATTTAGTGCACTCTGTGCTAAAAGTAGAAGAAGAAGAAAAAAAGCAATAATGTCTTTTATAAAGCTATGTATTACACAATAGACTTCCAAAATAGCTCAAGTGTTGTTTGAATAACAGATGTCTTCCATAAAAGAAGGTTCTTTGACTGCTAGCAGCAGATTAGTACCCACAAATACCTTTGGCTCCGAAGGCTTTTAGCCACACGGGAGAAAACAGTTACTCCCGCTGGGGTGGAGGGGGAGGGGCTAACTCAGTGGAACCACCATTTATATTTAGAATGTACACTTACCCCACGGGCCAACCAGGGGACAGAGGTCACCCAAGGATGTGCTCAATATAGAAGTCGCTCTATTGCCAAGTTCTAGTGCTCACTCCCAGTCTCTGGGGATAAGAAGAGACGAGTCACTCAGTGACATTTTGGAAGTGACCCAGAGCTAAATGGGCTCCTCCATATCTTATTTGTCCTCTGGTTATAGGTTAGATACACAATAATAATAATTTCAGCTGCTCTGGCTGATGTGGCTCAGTTGGTTGACGCATCAAGGTAACCAATCGGTGTTTCTCTCTCTCTAAAAAAATAAAAATAAAAATAAAAAATCAATAATAACAATTGTAGCTAACATATAAAAACTGACCTAGATTTTTTAGTTGACTGCTTACTTCATGCTTGCACCTTGGGGTGCCAGTTCCATTATTTCTTTCATGCCCTACATGAAGTGGGCCACAGCGGTACCCAGATCACACTGATGGTGCTCTGGCCATCGGTTATTGCTTAAGAGCTTCAAACAGCAATAATCACTTTATGGTCCTTGACATTGGGCTCCTCTAGGCAGTTCTCACACAGTGATTCTCACAGTCAGATCATGGCTATGGCTGGAGTCATCTTGAATGCTTCCTCACTCGTATATCGGCTGGCTGGGGCCCCACGTGGCACTGTCACCCAGAACCCCACACATGGCTTCTCCATGTGGCCCGGACATCATTGCATCACAGCTGGACTCCACAAGCAGGCATCCCAGGAACAGGTAAAAGCTGTATCGCCTTTTAAAAAACAAAACAAATGTTACTTCGAGTTCATTATAGACGAACAGCAGTTGCTAATATAGAAACAGAACCCTTCACTCAGCTTCTCCCAATGGTGAGATCAATATAACTGTAGACCAATATCATAGCCAGAAATTGACATTTGCACAATACTATTAACTAGACTATGAACTTTGTTTTACAGGGTTTTACATGCACTCATTTGTGTGTGTATATTCTATGCAATTTGATTCCATGTGAAGACGCATGTAATCACCCCCACAATCATCATACAAAACTGTCCCATATAGGGACTCCCTTGTGCTACCCTTTAATCGTGACACCCACCTTCCCTACCCCCATAACTGTCCCCTGACCTGTTCTCTATCTCTATATTTTATTATCTCTAGAATGTTCTATAAACAGAGTCATACATAGTCTGTAACTTTTAGAGATTGGCTTTTTTTTTTCTTTTCTTTTCTTTTTCTACACAAGATGCCCTTTAGGTCCATCCAACTATGCAGATGTTATTTGATTAAGTCCTTAGCAAACAGGACTTAGCCAGGGGGAAAGAGGGTGAAAAGAGAGAGTAGGCCAGCAGTGATCCTGGACGTGGGCAGTTTCCATGGCTTATAGATACATCACTCCGATCACTTGTGGTGATTAATGGTTCTAAGCAAACACTTAACCCTGCATTCGCAATGTTGCATTCTTTTTCTTAAATTGTACAAAATTCAATTTGTATAAACTTCAGGCTCAACAAAACCAGATGGAACCTCTCCTGGGTGCACTATACATTCAACGCGGAGGGAACAACTCATCTATAAAAGTCCAAATCTGGAGTTTTGCTGTCACTCATAGAACCGCTGAGACATCAGGGCCCCAAGAGAGCTGGTGGATGGAAAGGTGTGGAAATGAAATGAAGCCGAAGTGGTATTGATAACAGACACCCAGGCCTAGATGGGCCAGAATAACAAACTGCCTCTGTCCAGGGGCATGGAGTAACTCACTTACAGGCTATGGTTAGGAGGCTAGATGTTTTTCTAAGAGCAACTGGAAGCCACCAGCAAGCTTTAAGCAAAAGAGGAAGCGTTGACTACTATGATAAGGAGGCCAGTGCCTGAATGTGTGTGTGTGTGGGGGTGGGGTGGGGGGGTGGGAGGGTTGCTTTCGCCAAGGCGATGGTTCTTCGGGATTTCCGCTGTGTCCACAGACATCAAGTAGAACCACCCTAAGTGTGCAAGGGGTCAGAGGCTCCCTGCTTCCCCAGGAATCCTTGCTTGGCCTGCTGACCCCTGGGTCTGCAGCCAAGTGCTATTAAAAAAAAAAAAAAAAAAAAAAAAAAAAAAAAACCCAGGAGGTGGAGTTCATATCCTCTCAGCTTTCTGATTAATCATTTAGATGGGAAACTGAATCCTACTTAGGTTTAAAAAAAAAAAAAAAAGTGAACTCCAGGTCAGAATCACAATCTTGTCCCAAATATATGACTTTCCCCACTCCTGGTTGGGGCATGGGGGATGCCTTTAAAAAAAAACAAATTATTTTCATTCAGTCACCGTTTCCTAGCAACCACACACACACACACACACACACACACACACACCCTGCTTTCCTGCATGCGATCCCACCAGCCTGAGCAGATGCCCCCAGAAGCAGGGGGAGAACAAAAGCAAAAGAATCGGTCTCCTTCGGTGAGGGACTCTGAGAGGGGACTTTGTTAAGGGCCCGGCGTCTCATAGAACGCTCTCTGAGAGACCCGCACATCGCTGTGGGGGGGGGGGGGGCCTGCAGGGAGTGTGCAGATGTTCTTCGGGGCATGATATTTCTAGAGGACATGGGGGCTGTGCCTTAGAGCGTTTTCATGAGGCAGCTAATGCCTGAGACCCCTGACACTCCCCAGTAGCTCTTCTGTGTGTGTTTCCAGCGTTATTTTTGTTAAAGCTCTACAGGCAGATAAGAAAGGTGAATTCAAATCTGGACTGAATAGGGTCTCTCTTTCAACCAGGTGTAGCTGCTCCATGCACGCCAGTCGCTGGACTCTGCAGCTGGAAGGGCCCTCTCTGACCATTCCTGCTTCTCTGATGGAGGAGGAGGCACAGGCACAGGGAGGAGAGTCCTCGTACCCAAGGTGACACTGTTAGCTGGTAGCCTCCCAAGCCTCCACAGTGGGAGATGCTCATGTTTTCAGGATTTATACCTTTGCACAGGCCGCCACATGGAATGGCAGTGGAAGGTAGGTCTAAGGGAAAGCTGTCACAGCCACCAGGAGATGCAAATCTATAATTTGTAAGTCTGAAATTCCAAGGACTGGCTCAGAATAACAACATAGGTTAAAACAAATGCTAAGTCTTTTGTTTTTTAAAAAGGCACAGCTCTAGCTGGTTTGGCTCAGTGGATAGAGCCTCAGCCTGAGTACTGAAGAATCCCAGGTTTAATTCTGGTCAAGGGCACGTGACAGGGTTGCCAGCTTAATCCTTAGTAGAGGGTGTGCAGGAGGCAGCCAATCAATGATTCATTGATGTTTCTAGCTCTCTCCCTCTCCCTTTCCCTCTGAAATCAATAATATATATATATATATATATATATATAAAATATATAATATATATATATATTTTTTTTAAAGTTGTGGAAGCTAAGTCATCCCACCCTACCCACTCCATCCCTACCTCCTATACCACCCCCTCCCCCCCCCACACACACACACACTCAAGGAACTGAGCTAGGACAAATGTTTTCACAACTCATTGAACGAGAAGAATGCCAGCCTTTGTGGAGTTGTATGCTGTGGGGCAAAAGGTGCTCTAGGCTCACCATTTACTCAGACAACACCTGAGCCTGGGTGCAGAAGAGCCAAGAAGCCAGACCATGGCCACAGCAGTTGGGGTGCAGGAGACACTACATCCCAGCATCTGGCCGGCACAGGTCCAGAGCTTTTCTTTCTCTGGGCCCTGAGGCACCGCTCTGGCTTGCAGCGTCCTCTCCGGATGTACTCTCCTGCAGAGATGACGTTAGTGTCTTCATCATTAATCCATCTCCAGGGGACGGCTCCAGGGGACGGCTCCCCCTTTCACCTCCACATCTCATCCAAGGCAAAGGTGGCAGCAGCAAGAATGGTCCGAAAGAATGGAATTGGTCTGGTGAAGACCTCATTTAAACCAGGGGCATTCTTTCTGCTTGTTGTCGAAAAGCTGAAACCTGCCCTAACTGGTTTGGCTTAGTGAATAGAGCATCGGGCTGCAGACTCAAGGGTCCCAGGTTCGATTCTGGTCAGGGGTATGTATCTTGGTTTGGGGCACATCCCCAGCGGGGGATGTGCAGGAGGCAGCTGATTGATGTTTCTCTCTCATCGATGTTTCTAACTCTCCCTCTCTTTTCCTCTCTGTAAAAAAAAAAAAAAAAAAAAAAAAAAAAAAAAAAAAAAAAATCAATAAAATATACTAAGAAAAGAAAAGCTGAACCCAAGGAAGCTTAATGTTTATGTTAGCAGCCAAGCCACACCAGAACGTCATCAGCAGTGTGATCTCCATCTCGCTTCAGCGAGATCTCGGTACTTGAGAACTAGCTAAGAAAGAATTCAGAGCCACAACTCAAACGATAAGAGAAAGTTTACTTAGAAAGTAACAGAGGTAGAATGAGTGAGCCGTAGAAGAAATGGGCTCAGGAAACAAGTTACAGAGACAAAAGAAGGCACTCTTCTGGAGCTGAAACCCTACTGAGGACCACATGTAGTTGGTGCAGGCCAGACTCTCATTGTCCCGGAGCTTAATGATGAAGGACTGTTCTCTGGCCTCATTGCTTGTTCCACTCCAAGGGGCTCTAACCTGCACGGCTAGCAACATGCCAGGAGGGTCTGGGGAGGGTCTGACCCCTATGACCAGGGATGTGAAAGGTCAGGGGGTCTAAGCCACATGACCAGTGATATGCTAGGGAAGGAAGGGTCACCCTGGAGCTAAGGTCCTTGTTTTCCCAGGTTTGATCATTGCTAGGCACCTATGGCTTTCCACCTGTTGACTTCCTGTACCTGGCCCATCATCGTCCTTGCTCTGCTCATGTCTGTCTAACTGCTTATCACATTCATATACTACAATTTTGTTGTTTTGTTAATCCTCACCGAGGATGTTTTTTTCATGGATTTTTAGACAGAGTGGAAAAGAGTAAGGAGGGGAGACAGAGAGAAAAGTCCATGTGAGAGAGACACAACGATTGGTTGCCTCCCATCCATGCCCTGACTGGGGCTGAGGCTTGACCCTGCAACCGATGTGTGTGCCCTTCATTGGAATCAAACCTTGGACCTTTCAATCCATGGGCTGACACTCCAACCACTGAGCCAACGTGTTAGAGCATGCTTCAATTTTTTATAAAAAGGTTTCTAAAGTCCCCCCCCATTTTTATAGTCGTGATTTAAGAACATGTGCATGACTTCAAAAGTACAGACTGTAACATAATAAATATCCATAAACCTATAATCAACCAAGATTAACCAATCAACCAATAATAATAATTTTATTATTACTCAGAGTTCTCCAGATAAACAAATCCAACAGCAAATATACATAGAGATTTAGTCTAAGGAATTGGTTCACAGGACTGTGGTAGCCTGGCTGGTCTAAAATCTGAAGGGAAGGCCAGCAGTCTGAGGACCAGGGAGGAGCTGCAATTGAAGTCCAAAGGCTGTCTGCTGGCAGAATTCCTTCTTGCTTGGGAGAGGTCAGTCTTATTTTTTTAAGGCCTTCAACTGATTGAATGCAGCCCACCCACATGATGGAGAGTAATCTGTGTCACTCAGGTTCACTGACTGACTTAAATGCTAATATCCATAAAGCCCCTTCACAGAAACACCCAGAATAATGTTTGACCGAATATCTGAGCACAATGACCCAGCCAAGTGGCTATATTAAATTGATCATCACAATTTGCTTTAAATCATGTTTAAGAAATAAAACTGAGTCGAAACTGGTTTGACTCAGTGGATAGAGCGTCAGCCTGCGGACTGAAAGGTCCCGGGTTCGATTCTGGTCAAGGGCAAGTACCGTGGTTTTGGGCACATCCCCAGTAGGGGGCGTGTAGGAGGCAGCTGATTGATGTTTCTCTCTCATTGATGTTTCTAACTCTCCCTCTCTTTCCCTCTCTGTAAAAAAAAAATCAATAAAATATACTAAAAAAAGAAAAGCTGGCCGAAACCGGTTTGGCTCAGTGGTAGAGCGTCGGTCTGAGGACTGAAGGGTCCCAGGTTCGATTCCGGTCAAGGGCATGTACATTGGTTGCGGGCACATTCCCAGTAGGGGGTGTGCAAGAGGCAGCTGGTCGATGTTTCTCTCTCACCGACGTCTCTAACTCTCTATCCCTCTCTCCTCCTCTCTGCAAAAAATCAATAAAATATATTTTTTTAAAAAAAAGAAAGAAAAAAGAAAAGCTGAACCCAAGGAAGCTTAATGTTTATGTTAGCAGCCAAGCCACACCAGAACGTCATCAGCAGTGTGATCTCCATCTCGCTTCAGTAGTATCTCGGTACTTGAGAACTAGCTAAGAAAGAATTCAGAGCCAAGACTCAAACGATAAGAGAAAGTTTACTTAGAAAGTAACAGAGGTAGAATGAGTGAGCCGTAGAAGAAATGGGCTCAGGAAACAAGTTACAGAGACAAAAGAAGGCACTCTTCTGGAGCTGAAACCCTACTGAGGACCACATGTAGTTGGTGCAGGCCAGACTCTCATTGTCCCGGAGCTTAATGATGAAGGACTGTTCTCTGGCCTCATTGCTTGTTCCACTCCAAGGGGCTCTAACCTGCACGGCTAGCAACATGCCAGGAGGGTCTGGGGAGGGTCTGACCCCTATGACCAGGGATGTGAAAGGTCAGGGGGTCTAAGCCACATGACCAGTGATATGCTAGGGAAGGAAGGGTCACCCTGGAGCTAAGGTCCTTGTTTTCCCAGGTTTGATCATTGCTAGGCACCTATGGCTTTCCACCTGTTGACTTCCTGTACCTGGCCCATCATCGTCCTTGCTCTGCTCATGTCTGTCTAACTGCTTATCACATTCATATACTACAATTTTGTTGTTTTGTTAATCCTCACCGAGGATGTTTTTTTCATGGATTTTTAGACAGAGTGGAAAAGAGTAAGGAGGGGAGACAGAGAGAAAAGTCCATGTGAGAGAGACACAACGATTGGTTGCCTCCCATCCATGCCCTGACTGGGGCTGAGGCTTGACCCTGCAACCGATGTGTGTGCCCTTCATTGGAATCAAACCTTGGACATTTCAATCCATGGACTGACACTCCAACCACTGAGCCAACATGTTAGAGCATGCTTCAATTTTTTATAAAAAGGTTTCTAAAGTTTTTTCCCCCCACCATTTTTATAGTCGTGATTTAAGAACATGTGCATGACTTCAAAAGTACAGACTGTAACATAATAAATATCCATAAACCTATAATCAACCAAGATTAACATTTTTATTATTACTCAGAGTTCTCCAGATAAACAAATCCAACAGCAAATATACATAGAGATTTAGTCTAAGGAATTGGTTCACAGGACTGTGGTAGCCTGGCTGGTCTAAAATCTGAAGGGAAGGCCAGCAGTCTGAGGACCAGGGAGGAGCTGCAATTGAAGTCCAAAGGCTGTCTGCTGGCAGAATTCCTTCTTGTTTGGGAGAGGTCAGTTTTGTTTTTTTAAAAATATATTTTATTGA